AAATGGAGAGAATACTGGTCACTACCCATGAGTGCTGTTGGAGAGTCAAGTACCAACACACACACAACGTACTCCTGCTTGGCTTTCAGGAACTGTTACTATCATCTTCCCTTATTATTATCAAGAGCAGCAGTGGCAGCAGCCCAGAACCAACTGGCCCTCAGCCAGAGAGATCTCCTGAGAACTGTAATTGCAGTCTTTGCTTTGCCTTCCCTGTGACTTCTCACAGGAGAAAGCCTGGGGCCCAGGCCACATCAGAGCTGAGCAATCTCAGTGAGGCACATTGCTGGAGTGCAAGCTGTTGCTGAAAGCCATTCTACAGATGAGACCAGCTGGATGAGTGACCTGCGCCAGGTCGCAGTTGGCTGTCGGCCTTAACACATCAGCATAGGGTGGCCTTCACTGTGCTGCCCCCAATTCACTCTATTTCTGGCTTCTCTTGTGGAGAATGCCATCGTTTTAGAGGTTAGAGAAAGCCAAAGGGAAGCACTGCCCTGAACTCAATTCCTGTAGTGGAGGAGGAACAGGGAGAAACAGCTGTACCCTTGGGGGAAAGCTGCACCAGGGAGAGGGAGTCTGCCAGGATGAGCGGCACAAGAAAGGAGAGAATCCGAGAGGAGGAGCAATTTCATCACATTTAGAAAGGACGCATTTAGAAAGAGGGTCGGATGACGTTTTTTGGAATGAGGAAAGCTCACAACTGCAAGTGACGCCAGGGAAAGAGATAAGGCAGAGGCGTGCAGAGACGGAGGTGCCCTCGTAGGCGCAACGTCCCGGCGGGAGATGGACCGCCTGATGGTTCTTCCCAGAAAGACGGGGAAGGACCCGTGTCCAAACCAGGAACTGTGCATAAGCCAAAAGGGCCGCCCTGCGTTCCGCTGGGAGGGGAGGAACTGATGGCCCAGCTGAAGGCGCGGCTGCAGCTTGACGGGGCTGGAGGACAGGCGAGGCCCTGGTCCGCGCAACGCAGAACGTGCTGCGGCCCCAACACGCGAGGGCAGGCGGCTCCGTGGGGTCACGGTCACAGGTCACAGGTCAGACTGGTTGCAGCCCGCAGCCCTGGGCCTCCCAGCGGAGGCTGAGGGGAGCCCGCCCACCCCACGCGCACCTTCCGCGAGCTCCGGCTCCGGCTGCCCGGGCTCCTCCTCCGGGACGTCCTCCCTCCTCCAGAAAAAGGCCACCAGTTTGGCCGCGAGGCGCAGCATGGCTCCGCTCTCCCCGCCGAGTCGACTTCGCTGGCCACCTGAGGCACGGCACGCGGCCACCTCCCTCGGCCAATGGGGGCGCCGCCCGCGGAGCTCAGCCAATGGGATTGCTGCGTTTGCAATCGCCTCTCTCTGCTCCTGGCCAATGGGGGCTCCGCGCTTGCGCCTGCGCCTGCGCCTGCGTGTGCGCCTGCGTTGACTCCCTGGCAGCTCCTCGTGCCTGCGACGGTTGGCGGTTGACGTAGGTCAGCATTCTGGAAGACCCTGCGCTCTGCAGTGACGTCATGCCTGAGTAGTGCGTGCCGCAGCCTGAGGCGGGTCGGGGCGGGCCGGTAGGCCTCCCCCGCAGGGCCTGGGTGGGGCCCGGGTGGGGCGGGGGTGGGGCCCGGGTGGAGCGGGGTGGGGCGGGGGTGGGGCCCGGGTGGAGCGGGGTGGGCCAGGGCTCTCTCTGGCCTCCGCCCCGCGGCATCCTGGCCTTGGCCTCCTCTTGGCCGGCCCTCTCCCCTTCCTCCTGTGGAGGCTGTAGGGCTGGCGGGACTCGAGCCTGCGGGTTGGCAGCCAGCGCTGGTGAAGCCATCGGCCTGCGGTCTCCTCGTGGGACGTCCTTAAATGACAAATCCATCTTCCGCCGTAGCTGTAGGTTGTCCCCCGTTTCCTCCCACCTGACAAATGGCCGGCCTGACGTTGTCCGTCCTGCTCTTCTGTGGGGGCGCGGTCTGCAGCGCAGAGCATCTGTTCAAGTCCGCTCTCCGATGCCTTCACCCGGCTTGAGAGTTGTCGATTTTGTTGTCTTTTTAAAAACACCTCCAAGTTTCATTGATCTTTATTGTGTATGTCTTTACTATTTCAGTTATTTTTTGATTATTTCTCACCTACCTTTTGGGTTTAATTTATGTTTTTATTAGCTTCTTCGGGTGGAAAGTTATCTAATTGATTTGGGAACTTTCTTCTCTAGACAATGTAAGCATTTAAAATTTAATAGTTTCTCTTTGAGCTCTGATTTATCTGTATCCTACAAAATTTGACTTCCATTTTCAGTGAGTTTCCAGTTTCCTTTGTGATCTCTACTTTGACCACAGGGGCTTTTGTTTTGTTAATTTTTTTTAAACGTAGATTGATTAATTTATAAAAATTTGGAGATTTTCCTGAGAACTTTCCCGATTTCCAGTTTAATTTGGTCATGGTCCGAGAATAAAACCTGGATGTTTCAGTCTTTGAAATTTATTGAGGCTTTCTTTCTCTTACAAATAGTTTTCTTGCCAGAATGTTCCACATACTGCTGTAAGCAATGTGTGTGCTGCTGTGTTGGCCAAGGGTTCTACTTAGTTCTGATCAGGACATCTGTATTTTACCAGACCAGACCTGACAGTTGGATTGACAACCTCCTTTCTGAGGGCTGGGAGGGAGTGACCCCTTCCTTATACACTTGTGGAGTCCTGCCATGCCTCCACCTGGGACTCATCCAGGGAGTTCACAGGTGAATGAGAAGGATCCCAGGGATGTATTGGGTTGGTAGGAAGAGACACCCTACAGACCAGGGCATTTGACATGGGGGCTGGGTTCACGGGTCCAGCTTCCCAATAGGGGTGGTTTGTGGTGGAAGTTACTGCCAGGCAGGACTATCCCTGAACTCCATCTACTTGAGACACCCACAGGTTTGCCAAAATGAAAAGCAAGACCCTAGCTCTGAGCCTGCGTCCCCCTGGCTGGCTGAGCACAGCCCACGCCACTGACAGCACATAGTATTGGCTCTTTCAGGTCTCTCCTGAATGGCTCTCTTCTCTCCACTCCCAGTGCTRCCACCTTGGTGCCAGGCAGCACCTGTCCTATTTCCTCACCTGCTCTCCAGCAGACCCCTCCAGCAGGTCTATCTTAGAGTCAAAGGCAAGTGGTCTGCACACCCACAGGCATCTTGTACCTGGACACCCTTGCATCCCAGGATCATGTGCCCACTTCTTCCAGCCTTGCCCAGGCCACCTGGGACCTTTGCACCTGCCGTGCCACTAGCCCTTCTGTCTGTCCTCCTTGCTTCAGCATGCCATGGCTCTCATGTCTTCTCACTGAGGCCTGTCCCCCTCCTGTTTCTCTTCCTGGAGACAGAAGGTCAGGTGCCATGCAGCTGACATGATTTATGGTGCACACGTGTTCCTGTCCATGCAGGAACCTTTGTGTGGAGGACTGTGGCCTGTGGTGTTCACTCAGATATTTGCTGAAGGCTGTGTAAATATCGGGGCAGAGGAGGGCTCAGTGGGCAGTGGGAGGAAGGGCTCTGAGACAGAATGATTGGAAGAGCATGCAGGAGCACAGGACTTGTTCCAGCCAGGAGGATACACTTCTACTCTGTGCGTTGGGGGCCTTGGGGTGTGCTTTGTAACTTCTGAGTCAAGGCCACTGTTTGTTTCTTGGTAGGGAGCAGCTTTTGAAAGATTCCAAAGGGTGAAATTGGCTCCGCATTTTTCTTCAAACAAAAAGAAGCACAGGGTTCAATCCAGTTGGACCAATTCCTGTAACTGTTAATTGCCTTAAAATTAAAAGTTTGGAAAGTTTCTCAACCCACTCAAAATAAGTTCTTGACTTCACAGGTGCTAGTTTCTGTAAATCATCCCTAGTCCTTGCTTGGTTGAGAAGCTGATACAAGCAAACCCCCCATGATCTGAAACTTGACGACAGTGTCCAGGTTTGATGTGGGTTTGTGGTTTAAGGAGCCAATTTTTCAAACTACTTTAGTACTTTTTGCAGTTTTCACAAAGAAACTGCCAGGGGCCAGTGTCTCTGGATGAAATTCATTCATGTCCTTTTTCTCTGCTTGGTGAGCAGAAATAAAGGGTGCAGCGACACCATGCCAACCCTAGGGACTGCCACAGGAACCAGTGGGCGGAACCTGGACCACAGCAAGGGCCAGTCCAGCCAGTCCTCAACAGAAAGGTCTGTGTGACCTTGTGAAGGAGATTCCATCATGTGATCACAGGGGACAGAAAAGGGCTGCAGGAGAATGTAGTACACCCTTTGAATAGAGCTATGCTCCAGGCACAGGCTGGCTGGGATCCTGCACATGGTGGACTCTGCTCTCAGCTACGCTTCTTCCTCGGAGATGCCCACCTGGCGAGTCTGTGATGAGCAGGAGTAGGGAGGCCTTTTCTCTCCTGCTGGGTTAGGACAGCTCTGAGCCATGGTTACACAACCAAGCAGCAATGTTTCTAGGATCTACTCCATCTCATTGAAATTCAGGAGGCAGTGCTCCTTCCCTTGGCTCAAGTGCAGTTTTGCTGGGCTTTTGTCCATGTGTGAATAGTTCTTGCTGGAAGCCCCTCACCCCAAGACGAGCTCTTCCAACGGCCAGACAGCAGCAGAGGTAAGCACACAGACGTAAGCTGCAGAACAAGTGAGTCTTGGGCTGTCTCCTGGGCAGTCACCACCTTGAGCCTAGTAGCAGTGAGACCCCAGGGCAGCGTGAGGTGTGTAGGAAGTTGCTCACTGAGTGGAAGTGGGGTGTGCTTGAGGACCCAGGTTGCCAAAGCAAGTGAAGCCTCAAGTCTTACCCTGAATCCATGTTGCTTGGGTCTGTCTTACTGGGAAAGTGATTTGTTCACTTATAGAAATAAGTATTTATTTTTTAAATTCATAGCATTTCCGTGTGCACAATATTTCTTTGTTAAGAAAAATTATTTCTTGAAAACAGCTWATTACAATTGAAGCTTTCTCAGGGGTCAAAGTTGATAATTTTGTTACAAACCAGTGAATGGTGGCCTGTAACTGTGAGTCTCAGCACGGCCGCATGTCACCACTCGCAGCATGCCTGTCCCCAGTGCCATGACACGGGAGGGGCAGTTCAGGGAGGAGCTGGGCTACGACCGAATGCCCACACTGGAGCGGGGACGGCAGGACCCAGGCCGGCAGGACCAGGGCAGCTACACCCCTGATGCAAAGCCTGGCGACCTTCAGCTGTCTAAGAGGCTGCCCTCGTGCTTCAGCTACAAGACCTGGGTCTTCTCCGTGTTGATGGGGGTGAGTAGCCTGACAATGGCCCTGGGGTGAGGTCCACAAGCACATCCCTTCAGTGAAGACAGTGGCCCGAGGCCCCTGGCAGAGGTGTTGCTTGTTCCCAGGCTAGAGATGGGCAGGAGCAGCCATCAGGTGAATCCTGGAGAGCCTCTCGGATACTGATGAGTTTATCATGCTTGTGTCCTCTGAACTGTTTTCTTCAATTAGTACCTACCACACAGGTCTGCGGCTGTCCCGCCAGGGGACTGTACTGAGCCCACGGTCAACACTAGCTCAAGGTGGCCTCCTTACTCCTGTGGGTCCCTGAGGCCGGGGCTGCAAGGGTGGGAGGGGGTCTCGGGTCTGAGCTGGCCCCAGGCAGGGCTGCATCAAATGTTGGAGTGTCTTTCCTGGGGTGTTCCTACATAGATGGCAGACAACTAGAGACCTGAAGGAGTGGTGTGGTCCTCATAGCTGAGGGACAGGCCCCTGGACACACCATTCCATGGCAGGACCCAGTTCCCTGTGGCTCTGGACTGAGAACCAACATCTTGGCTGCAACCTCTCTCCTGCCCAGGCTCTTCTGGCCAACCTGCAGCAACCTCCGTGGATGGCCACAACCACACCTGGCCCTCCAGCAGCCTCTTCACAACTCCAGGTTTAGCCCGGACCTTGGGCTATAGAGTCTGACTCCAGCAGTCAGTTCTAGATGTTTGCTAGGGTTTGCTTCTGCAGAGCGATGGGGCAGGCACCGTGTCCCGGTTCTGAGTGGATCTGTGTCAGGTGGTCACACCAGGTGGAACTAGGGCTTCCCTGGGGAGAGGTACCACTTCTTGCCTTTGATTTTGACACAGCCCCTGTCCTCTCCACTAAATTACAGCACAGAGGTCCCTGCTCTGGCCTTAGGCATAGGACTCGTTTGTCCCTGGAGAGGGCCCTGGTCAGGCAGGGCCAGATGCAGGCTCTAAGATGCTGCAGTGTCAGGCCAATCACTCCTTGCATGTGTAATTTGCAGACAGAACCATGTTGTGACCTGAGTTTGTGTTGCTATTTTGCAGAGCTGCCTTCTTGTGACCTCGGGATTCTCCCTCTACCTGGGCAACGTGTTCCCCTCTGAGATGGATTACTTACGGTGTGCAGCGGGCTCTGTAAGCAGCGCTCCAGCCATGCCTGCCAGTGCCCTAGTCCCTGCCCTGATTTTGGGTTCCTGCCACTTGTTTCTTATTCAACAATCTCTTGTATGACTTTAATTTCAAATAGGGTTTACTACTTCTAAAGCTCCAGTGAAGTAGGTCTGAATCTCATTCCCGAGACTTGGTATAAGAAATAGCACTTTTGATTCCTACCTGTAGTTGCATAGGCTCCAGCTGACAGTGAGCCGGTGGGGGAATCTGTCTTTGGGGGACCAAAGCTTGGTGCCCTGTTTATGGAGTTTCACTTAGTGCCCAGGCTGGCTGGGGAGGAGGCAGTGGTCCTCACAGGAGGGGAGGAGAGACAACCGCAGACCTCCAGGGCCTGTGGTTCCGGCCATCCCCTGTCTAGCCAGCTCAATCATATAGCATACTGTCCACTGAGGTCTTGTGTGTCAGTAGGGAGAGCCACCAAGGTCTGGGTTCTCCTTGGGGTTCCAGCTGGTGACAGGCCTGTACAGGCAGAAGGTCCTGGGAGTCTGTCCCTTTCCAGCCTCCAGCTAGTTCTTCTGCGCCACCCCATCAGTGGCCACATGCCCTAAAAGACAACACATGAGCTTCCCCACACCCCGCGCCCAGCATCTCCCTTGGGCCCTTAGGACAGACATTCTTAGCAGAAGGTGACACCTTTCCCTCCTGCTCTCTGGAACCACCTTCTTGGCCTCAGGTCCTCACCATGGGAGCTGCCCTTGTGGGGGGCGGTGACCTCCACCTGAGACCCAGAGTGCTCCAGGTCGGCTCCACATTAGGCAGTGTCCCTTCCCCCTCATAGTTGTCTGGGAGAGAGCTCTGCCTCTGGTGGCCTGTCTTGGCTACCAGAGCTTGGCCCCTAGGACACCAGCCAACCTGTCCCCCTGGATCCTCAGCTTAGGCCCCCCATGGGCTCCTCCTGCTCGCATCCCCACTGTCTGCAGACACATCCTCTCTGCTTCTCAGAGGCCCTATTCACAGCTCCCCCCAGGATTTGGTCCCCTTATTAGCTGGCCCACTCCCAGCCTTGGGACCATAGTGGGGTCAGAGTGTATGGCCTGGATGAGCACTCCTGGGCTGTGGGACCCTGGACACCAGAGAACTCTTGTGCCTCCTCCCCACCAAGGCTTTTTCCTTCTGTGTAGTTCTCCAGGTGAGACCATTCTGGTCTTGTGCAATGATACTAAATTATATTTGGGATCCAAGTGTGCCTGGCTAGAAACCCTTTTTCAGGATGAATTGTTTTGAAGTAACTGGGGCTGTCAGTGTCGAGGGTCCCCTGCATCAAGTGACTCCCAACACTTGTTTGCCAACATGGCTGGGATTATTCCATCAGGCATTGCTGTCACTGCAGGGCTGGGATTAAAGCCATGGCCAGCAGGGTGCTCACCAGCTCTGCTTTCTTTGCAGTGCATCCCCTCAGCCATTGTGAGCTTCGCTGTTTCAAGGAGAAATGTCAGTGCGGTAAGTCCTTCTGGGCAGCCTCCACAGGGCAGGGTGGTGGTGGGAGGTAGGTCAGCCACAGGGCTGCCCATAGGGCTGCCCAGGGATAGGTGGGGCCACAGCAGCGTTGCCCCTGAGGTGGGCCCACCCCCAGTGCTTCCCCTCATGTGCTCAGGGTTCTAGCTGACGAGCTGCCTTGTCTTCCAGATTCCCAACTTTCAGATACTGTTTGTTTCCACATTCGCTGTCACCACCACGTGCTTGATATGGTTTGGGTGCAAACTGGTCCTGAATCCATCAGCAATCAACGTGAGTCACTGGAAGGGACCTGGGCCACACCTTGTGCTGACATCAGCTGCTGGGCTTCTGCCAGCACTGAGGGGGTGCAGTGGATGTCTGAGTGAGTGGGGATATGCCCTGATGTTTTCCAAGACTCCCAAATTGACAGTGTTGAGAACTTGATTCATGTTTTTGAGGAGAATTATCTCCACTGAACTCTTAACTGATTTCAGTGAATTAATTTATTTATAAGCAATATTTTAACATCTCTTTTGCAACAACTCTTAAAAATTAATAGTAACAGGGCTGTGGATGTGGCTCAGTGATAGAATGCTCGCCCTGCACGAGCAGGCTCTGGGCTCCAAACCTGGCAGGACAAAAACACGTTTTAATAACTGTGATGCTGTCGGTTATAAGACACAGTCAGTTTACATACTACTAAGGGAAGAGGAAGAACATTGTCACCTCAATTTTGCCTCCAAATAAAAATATCACCAACTGGGTGCAGTGGCTTGTGCCTGTAATCCCAGGAGCTTGGGAGACTTCGGCAAGAGGATTGCAAGTTCAAAGCCAGCCTCAGCAACTTAGTGAGGCTCTAAAAAAAAAAGACTGGAGATGTGGCTCCGAGGTTGGGTGCCCCTGAGTTCAATCTCTGGTACCAAACAAAACAGAACAGAAACCTCAACAAAATTTGAAGTGTCTTAGCTTTGCAAGGTGAGAAACAGAAAGGACAATGAAGGATGGGAAAGGGACTTCTTTCTACCTGCCACCTACAGAAAGAGCGATTCCTGCCAGTTTCACACAGGGACTCAGAGCATGTAGCAAACTTGCTGAACATGAAAACCAGCATAAAACTTTTAACTGTATCAACAACCTACATGCAGATATCATTCTGTAGAATTAAACATATCAAATTCCTGGGATAAATCCAACGAAATCTAAGATCTGAGAGACCCTACAGTGAAAAAATGATGGTGCGCCCTTCCTTTTTTAGGAAAGCAGTTATACATTCCAGGGAAGATGTGGGCTGTATCAAGGGAGATGTCTTTTGGGGTAAAGTAAGAAATATACATTCAAGGGAGAATGCAGGCCATCTCCAGAGGGAGAGACAGCAACCCCTGGATGTGAGTGTTAATGTGGAGGTACAGGGGCCACAAGGTGCACTAGAGGTGAAGCCAGGGCCAGGGTACACACTTCTAGGCCAGTTTTCTCTGCACTTGGTCATGGCCCTGGGTAACTTTTGCAGGCAAGGGCAAGGATCAAGGGTGAGGGCCCCAGTGCAGGTTAAGGACAGGCTGGGTTGTTTGTTCACAATGCTTGTTTTGCATTGAAAGAATGCATGGGTGTTTCCTGCATCTCAATAGCTCTGGGGGTACTTCTCTTTTGGGATGGTCTGTCTTTCCTTTTCTGTGTCCCCAAATTCCTATCTCACCCCGACCCCCAGCCTTGTGATCCCTTATTCTTAAAAGGTCAAGATGTATCTTCTGTGGCTGCTTTGAGATGACAGGGGTGATGGCCCTGTCTAGCCAGGGATCTGAAGTCTCTGTCAGCGTGGTGCAATGGGGACAGAAGAGACTTGTCTCAGTTGCTGGGACGGATGGCATCTCACGTTGACATCATCTTAACCAAGAGGCTGTTGCAGTCTGAAAGGTCCTAGGAGATGAAAAAACGCAGGATGTAGCCGGAGGCCTGGACAAAGGCAGCAGTAGACAAAGCAGACAAGGGAGCTCCACATGGCTTCTGGGTACCTGTGCACATTTTGGGACCTGGATTTGTCAATCACAGTTCTGTTGGTCAGACAAATTAACTCAGGACAACATGACTTTTAGAAGAGTCTTTTCTGTTAGTTATTATCAGATACTCAGGYATACAGGCTTATTTCTTCAAGACATCCTGAACCATCGGAGGGCAAGGCCATGCAGGAGACTCATACATGTTGGCATGGGGGGGATACCTCTTGGAATCTTCCAGAATGCATGGAATTCCTGCAGCTCTGCATAGGAACTCAGGCTGGGAAAGGAAGCCCCTTGAAGAACAGATTGGGGCACACCCCCAGGCTTATTAAAAAGCTGTCCTTGCCAGGGTGGTCTTGGCAAAGGCAGGGGAACCAGCCCTGACTGGGTCAGCCTGGGCCTCCTCACATGTATGTATGGCAGTCTGTGATCTGGAACGCAACAAGTGCCTGGTCACCTGGGGTGGACCACCTCCCACCTGCCATGGAGATCCAGACCTGAGACTCTGAAGCATGCTGTGAGGGAGAGGGTGATGGATGGGGAAGCTGCCCAGCACACATGGAGCACCCCTTCAGTTCCCCAGGGAGACCAGTGCACCAGGAGGAAGCCACAGCCTTCGAGGGCTGGGCTCAACTTGCCTGGCAGCAGGCTGAAGAGGCGCGCAGCAGGGAGAAGAGGCGTACTACAGCCAGCGAGAGCCATCCACATGCTCAGCGCACACCCAGGGAAACTCTGTTGCCCAGTGCAGGCCCTTTGAAAAACTGTTAGGGATTTGCTAGACATTCTAAGATATATGCTGTGCCACCCCAGGTGCAAGCCCTGGAGAACTGCTTCACACCTGTGACCAGGCAGTACACATGTGAAGGTCACAGCAGTGACACTTGTCTAAACAGATGTCTGTAACCTAGAACAGTGCCTGTACATGCAGGTGAACTACAGAGTGGGAGACAAGACGGGTTAACACGTGGTGAAAGGGGGGTGAACCACATCCCCTGGTGGCCATGGAGCCACAGCCCTGCATCTCCTGGGCCTCGTACCTGCAGAATCCCAGCACCACCCGAGCTCCGACCACAGAGCTATGACAGGACTGAGCAGTGGGGACCCAGGAAGGAAGCCCTGGAGCTGCTTGTGCTTGTGCTTGTGCTCAAGGACACAGGCATGAACCATGGGGCAGAACACCACACAGTGGGAAAGAGCCAGACAGGCTGGAGGCTGGATCCATGCTCTGTGTGCCATGAGTGTCCTGTTAGCCGTCACCAGGTCCTCTGGGCTCTCGGAGGTGTGCACTGCTGGCAGCTGGTGGCACAGTGCACCTATTCCTGATCCTTCCACCTGCCCATCTTGTCATAGGTCTCTGCAGCCTGTTACTCTCCCCAGAGTTCCAAACCACCATGTCCCCTGTTGGTGGCACGTCAACGTCTTGCCCCTGCACACTCTGCATTCTAGCCCCCGAGGCCAGGCTGCCCTGGGCCACAGGAGTGAGGCTGCTGGCTGTGGGTCATGCCTGTGCTCTGTCAGGCTCAGAGTGCCACCTGCTGCAAGTCCTCCCCACCAGCCTGAGCATCCTGCAGCTTCTCCTGCCCGGGGTCATCAACTCAGACTGTTCCCAGTCAGAGGACAGCAGAGATACGGACTTCTTGTTTCCATGTGGCCTTCAGAGCTGTAGTTCTGAGTGTCATGTATTCTAGTCATAATGTAATGATATTATAAATCAATAAGTGGGTGCTATTTAAAGATAGCCCCACATGCCTGTTTTTTAGGGTCTGGCAAGAAGCAGAAGGGACAGTCAAAATGGAGTGTACAGTTAGGGAGGGGATCGTTCCCACAGTCTGCACAGTGTGTGKGGGGGGGCAGCAGGTGGCTGAAGGGGCCATGAAGATACAAATTAAACTGTGGAACAAGATGAAGGGCTGGGTTGTGGCTCAGTGGCAGAGCACTTACCCAGCATGCACGAGCCCCTGGGTTTCACTCCTAGGATGGAAGAAAAATAAGAATTCTGAAAAGTTGTGAAACACAAAACCAACTTATAAAAATCCAGTGTAAGTTGCTGAGAGTGATAGTCCACACCTGTAATCCCAGCAATTTGGGGGCTGACACGGGAGGATCACAAGTTCAAGGCCATCTGGGTGTTAAGACAAGATTGCGATAAATCACCGTGTCAATCTTAAAGCAGGAGACGGAAACTTTATTCACCAGTTGGAGGTCCGGGTCCACCAGCTGGTGGTCCAAGGGGGTAGGCTGCAAGTCTACATGACTGTTGCTATGATTCAAAACCCATAAACAAATGTCATGAGATCTAAAATCAAGCAGAAAAGAGAGTGGGCCAAAACATCTCTAGTTGTGTACAAGTTAAAGAATGGTTTCTAACATCTAGACAGTCAATCTCTGACAGGGTACATTATCCAAGAAAAATGGGAATCAAAGAACAATTTTACTTTGTATAAGAATTGCCATGTTGTGTTGCCAAACATGCTATGCTAAGCAACTGTTGATGGGTACAGAGGTGGGGCTTTCCCTGGGGGAAGCATTTCTTACAGGACATGGAGTTTCAGGGCAAAATGGAGTCTGTTTGGTCATTGCCCATATAGCCTGGCCCATAACATGGGCAACTCAGCAAGACCCTCTCTCAAAATTAAAAAAATAAATAAATAAAAATGTAAAATATTTAAAAGGGACATATAGGAAGTCTGTAGTATTATTACAATTTTTTTTAGTTCAAAATATTTCAAAATAAAACTTTCTTTAAAAATTCAATAAGCGTCTCTCTGTACTAGCAGTAGTCTATCTGAAAATACAACTTAAAAAAAAAAAAAAAAACAAGACTCCAGGGTTGGGGCTGTAGCTCAGTGGTAGAGGGCTAGCCTAGCACATGCAAAGCCCTGGGTTCAATCCTCAGCACCAAATAAAATAAATAAATAAAGGTATTGTGTCCAACTTAAAATACAAAAACAAAAAACATGACTCCATTCTTGTCAACAACAAAGTCCATAAACTATCTAGGACCCAATAAAACAGATGGATGGGTCTGTTGTTTTTTTTTAATCTTTATTTATTTATTTTTATGTGGTGCTGAGGATTGAACCCAGGCCATGCACCTGCTAGGTGAATGCTCTACACCTGAGCCACAATCCCAGTCCCTATTTTTAAATATCAGCTGCTTATTTTTGCATGACATTATTGTATTATGACCAGAATATATGATCTAGAGTGCATTGGTTCTTTGAAATTTACCAGGCCTGTTTATGGACTAATAGATGCTCAGTTCTGTTAGTACTATACAATTACTATAAAGAATGGAAATTCTGCCTTATTTGGCATGCAGAGTTTTGTAGATGAGCTTATTAGTTGCATTTGTTTTAAAATCCAGGCTTTTTACTGTTCAGATATGGTGAGGTCAGCAGAGCAGGAGATGCCGGCCATTGAAAGACAGTCTAACAGCCTAACAGACCCCAGAGGAGGGGCACGCAGGGCCACTCAGGGGAGCATCAGGGTTGGTACAGGCAGAGGAAGCATCCCCACTGTGACTCCTGGCTCAGCCACAGGGGCAGGAGGGAGGAGCATGGATCTACCAGTGGTGGTGCGGAGCCAGGAAGGAGCAGGCGGGGCACGTAGGGGGCTTAGGATCAGCCAGTCTGAATACCTTCAGCAGGTACTGGACACAGAGCTGTCCCTGGCTGCCTTGGGGTGACTGGGCAGGTGGGTGGTGGCCCCACATGGGCAAGCAGATAGAAGGGCACAGGTTGGGTGCTTTGAACATGATGTCGTTGGCCAATCCCAGAATTAGCCAGCCCTAGGAGGGGCAGCCTGTCCAGGGCAGCCCAGCCCCAGATGGAAGAGCATCAAAGGAGACATGGTTAATGCAGCAACTTTCTTGTGATTGTGAGAGATCTTATGCTTTTGTCTTTTTCCTTTGTCAGTTTCTGAGGAAAGTATGTCAAATTGTTCACCTATCACCATTGGTTCACCTATTTCTTCCTGTGGTTCTGTTATTAATTACTTTGTGTATCTTGAGATGCTATTGTTAATTTCATGTTTTGCAGTATGTAGAGGTTGAAGCCAGGGGTGCTCTACCACTAAGCCACACCCCCATGCTTTTTATCTTATTTTGAGACAGAGTCTTGCTAAGTTGCTGAGGCTGGCCTAGTACTTGCAATCCTCCTGCCTCAGCCTCCCGAGTAGCTGGGAATACAGTTGTGCACCACTGTATCCAGCACAACCTTTCTTTTATAAATTTATTTTTTAGTTATTAGTTAAATTGTCTTGTTATTGTGTTTATGTATTTGTGGGGCTGGGATCAAATCCAGAACATTGCACTTGCCAGGCAAGGCTCTAGACTCTGTGGCTCAGCCATAGGGGAGGGAGGGAGGAGCGCAGATATGCCAGTAGTGGTGTAGAGCCAGCTGTGGTCCAGTCCCTGCTTGGAGATGGGCAGGCTAGGCCTCCAGCTTTAGTGATGCCCTGGTTTTGAGGCTGAGCGATCCTGTGAGCCAGTGGAGAACGGAGGAGTGCACAGCATACTTTTTGAGGGCTTGCAAACAGGAGGAAGCACATACTATCTTTTATTGGTGGACAGGCTGTTGGTTCAGTTCTCAGAGTGCATCTGCCTTTCCCAGGGGGGGTCTGACTGGCTTGGTTCTGAGAATATTAACAAGTGTGCAGATTCTGGAAACTGCCAGTGCCGTCAGGACCCAAAATAGTTCTGTTTCCCTTCAGACCCCTGTGTTTGCAGTTTTGGGCAGTCACACTGGGAGCTGCTGTAAACCGAGTGTCAGCCTGTTGTATAAGTGAGAGGGTTAGCTCAGGGAACGGCAGATGCCACCCAACAACCTGATCCATCCACAGCCTATTCTTGCATAGCCCTTGATGAGAGTGGGGAAATAAACAAAAATCCCAAAGGCCCGCGTGGGACCGAGGCAGTGTGGGGTGCATGGCCCATCCGGGGCTGGGCGCCGGCCCGCAGCCTGGCCTGCTGTGCCACCATGAGAGGTTAACAGGGCCACTGAGGCTCCTGCTTCCCTTGCAGATAAACTTCAACCTCATTCTGCTCCTCCTGCTGGAGCTTCTCATGGCAGCCACAGTGATCATCTCTGCACGGTCCAGTGAGGAGCCCTGCAGGAGGAAGAAGGTGGGTGGCCTCCACAATGGCATCATGACCCTGAGGTGGCCTGGCTGCCCCAGGGTCCCCACAGGCAACTCAGGCCACAAGGAGGCGGGCGTGGGGTGGTGCCCCTGGCTGTTACCTAGGAAGGCATCTCTGCCCCCAAGTCTGCCCACAGTGCCTGGGGCCCATGGTGCCTGGGGCCCATGGTGCCTGGGACCTGCAGTGGTGGCAATTCAGCATGCCCCTTAAGTCTGTTGGGCCACACCAGCCAGTGGCCCCTTCATGCCATGGTCAGCACTGCTGAACCCCGAGCCCATGCACTGTGGCTGATGAGCCTCGCTTCCTTGAAGGGCTCCATCTCCGACAGCAGCAACATTCTGGAGGAAGTGCCATTTCCTGCTCGGGTCCTGAAATCCTATTCGGTAAGAAAAACTTCCCTTTTAATTTCCTCTCACTGGTTGGGTGTGTGAGGCTGGATCAGATCCTCGTTCTCATGTTTAAAGATGTCCAGGACTTGGCCAGGGCGTGCACGTGAGTCCTGCCCTCATCTGAAGCCACTGCAGCCATCCATCACTGGGGCCAGCAGCACCTTGCTCAGAGAAGCTGGTGTTCCTGAGCTTCCTGGGGTCTCAGATGAAGAAGGAGGGGCCTGGCTTGCACTGTGCCCTGGAACCTCCAGCTCTGGAGGCCCTTTCCATTTCCTGTTTGTTCAGGATTGCTTGTTCTCTTGGGAAGTTCAGACAGAAACCTCCAGGAGAGTGTGGGTACTGACTTCTCCGTGTAATTCTGTCGCTTTCCAGCCTGGATCTGGGAGGCCGTGTTCTCAGTTACAGACAAGCAGCTCTTCCTTGAGCAGTGTGTAGCGACATTCTCTGTGTCGGATAGGGCCGGCCACGGACTCTTCCCACTGCATGAGCACATCACTGTCCTCTGCTGGCCTCGGCTGAAGGCATCTTTACCCTTCTTATTTCCAGCTTATCTTGTTCTGGTGTTATTTGGGTATGTTTCTTACAATGGTGCAAGGCTCTATTTTAGTTTTTCTGTCTAATCTGCCTGGCTTTTGAGTTTAGCCCATTTCCTCTGAGAGTGGTTTCTAACATAATTTTATCTATTTTATCCTTTTTATTCCTCCCTACTTCTGGATTTTTCTCCTCTGCCTTTACTTCCTCCCCTGCCTTCTTTTGGGTCAGCCGAGGCTTCTCCTGTCCTCTTCCTGGTGGTTTTGGACTAGAAGTTGCTCATTGCTCAGCTGGAGACCTCCTCCTGTTCAGTCTGCCTCCTGTAGACAGTGTGCATCTCTCCCCTTGGCCTGGTTGGGGAGGGGAGGGCGCCAGGTACCTTCCTGCCTCCGCGGTCTGGCTCCTGACTTGCTCCTGGGCTTCCCAGGCCTCTGTGTCCACCTCTGCCAAGCTTCTGTCCTCCTCCTGCCCCACTTTTCTCCTGTTTAGTGCATCTTCCTCAGACACCTTGGGAGGGGTGTCTGTTTTGGTCAGCTTCCACTTTTGCAGGTCACCTCATTCATGGAGACTGTTTTGCCCAGTAGAGTGTTAGTTCCAGGCCAACGGTGTCCCTGTGGGTTTGTGGTGGGCCATCGCCACCGCCCTCTACAGGTGACCTCTCTTTGGGGAGCTTTCTGTCCTGTGTTGTGACTGCTCTGAACGGGGCAGTTTTCTTTGTCCATGTGGGGTCTGGTGGGGTCTGAATGCAAGGAGGATGGCCGGCCAGTCTTGTCCCCAGCACAAGCCCTGTGACAGTGTGTCCTCTGGCACTCCTGCTGGCCACATCCATATCCAGCTTTCCCGTGGCCTCCGTGAGCTTCACTCAAGGCCAGCTGGGTCCCCTGCATCAGCTTCTAGGGGCTCAGCCTGTTCAGCCTGAGAGCAGGCCGCCCACTGACCCCATGGCCTACCCTGGGAGCCGAAATCTACACAGTGCCTTCTCTCCCTCATGGTGGGTGCAGACCCTCAGAGTGGTGGCCCTGTGAGGTGATGCTGTCCCACTGTCCCCTCCCAGGTGGTCGAGGTCATCGCTGGTGTCTCTGCTGTCCTCGGTGGGGTCATTGCTATGAACGTGGATGAAGCAGTCTCAGGCCCACACCTCTCAGTGACATTCTTCTGGATCTTAGTGGCTGTGAGTACTTCCTGGCTGGCCACCCTGTCCATGCACAGCTGCTCTGGCCACACAGTCTTGGCCACAGCTCTGGGTTCCTCTTCTTGAACCAAGGTGGCTGGTCTTGAGTCCTGTCTTGTGGCATTCTGACAGGAAAGCACCTGGAGAGAGTCCTGTTGGCCCCTGACCCAGAACACTTGGAAACAGGGCTGGACAATCAGCGTGTGATTTTATATTCGTTGCTAATATTTTATATCACTCCTATGTTTCCTAAGACAGCCAATTACTTGTATTATCCCATGCAACTTGTAGCATATGTTTTATAAAATGTGATACTTCTGCTGTAATTCATACTAAGTGCTGATACAGCAGATGCTTAGCAGGACACCTGGCACAAAGGAAGTGTGGACGCATGGCCTCTGTTCTGAACTTGGTCTCAGGTCACTGTGCGGTGCGGGTCTTTTCAGTTGCCATGTGATCTCACGCTGTTCAGGGCTAAGCCCAAACCTGCACAGTGTGTACCAGTYGGCCATCCTGGCCCCCCTGGGGACCGTCACACCACAGTGTCCCTTCACACCCAGAGCTGCTATTCCTCTATACTTTGTGCAGAAGACCTGGGCCCCAGGCATCATTTTGCACCTGCCACCTATGTGGCCTGCCGCCAGCCACAGCTTGTCCATGCTGCGTGCCTGGCCTTGCGGACGTTTCAGTTTTGCCCTACTATCTCATAGAAAAGAACAGGACATGGCAAGCACCCGTGTCCTGTCCACAGCTCCTCAGAGCGGCAGCGGTCCTTCCTGAGGCTGCCCCGCAGGCTTGGCTGCAGTCGACCCCCACTGTAGGGAGACTGGCCGGGTGGGGTCTGACGTGGCTGGGAGGCACATGGGGGCCCGTGACTCCCTAGACCTCTCTGCCCAGGGGCTCCTGGAACAGTGCAGGGATGGGGGTGGGGTGAGCCACTCAGCTGGCAGGTCCAGTGGAGGAGAACTCCCCAGGGTGCAGCCTGAGCACACAGTCCCCAGAAGGAGCAGGGGACATGTCTGATATCTGTGTCTGCAACAGAGCTGATTGGGGGTTAGACCTTGAGCCCCTGAGTGCAGAGACCAAGTTCACAATGGAAGGTGCTCTTCCTTGTCCCCTGGCCATTCCTATATGCACCCACAGTGCCCTCCCTCCTCCTCCAGGGAACAAGCAGCTGTGGGGTAAGGAGACCCCAGGAAGAGGGTGGGGCACTTCAGGTGGGACACCTTCTCAGGTAGGAAGCTACCTGGCTCGGCTTGCCTGCATCCCTGCCAGGGGTGGCCAGAGAGGTCAAGGRCATAGATCACTGGACACCAGGCAGGGTCCAGGGCCTGGAGTTAGGCTGAAGGCCGGGTCCTCCCCATTCTCCCCATGGTGGGTGGCCACCCCAGCTGCTTTCTAACTGGCTGTGCCCCATCTTTTATTCCCTCCTCAGCACATGTCCTGCTGTAGCCAGAGGCCCTTTGGGAAATGTGTGGATGCTTCTGCCTCCTGACTGAGGCCAAACCCACCTCTGCAGTCACATCTGGTCCAACTCCGAGGACTTTGCACATGCAGTTCCTTCACCTCCCTCATCAACTCTCTCTGTGTTTACTTAGCTTCTCCTCAGAGCCCTGACAAAAGGGTCATTCCTGTTGGAGAGGAGTCAGTTGTCACTGGCCAACACCACTGCCCCAAGGTGTGGATAGGAACTTTGGAGCTGGGAAACTGCCTGGGTCACTAGCTCACCAGGCCATGTTAGGCACTCGGAGGCCTAGGGGTGATGGCCCAGGGGGATGACCAGAGGGCACACCCAGGTGGGTAGCCACCCACCACCTTCCCTCTGCCTGCTCTGTGGAACTAGATCAAGCTCCTTGAGGTAGATGGGAAGAGGCACTTCTTGGTTCAAAGGGGAAGAGCCAGCAGATGCCTGACCCTGTGGGCTACGTGGACGCCTGGSAGCTGCAGCCCCTGTCTAGTCCTGAAGCACCTAGACACCCAGGGAGAACCTGAGCAGCAGGGGTGTGCAGCCCTCAGGGGTGCCAGAGCCAAGAGTTGGCCCACAGACAGAGACAGGTGCAGAGTGTGATGGGGACCGGACCCTGGATCTGGAAGCAGAGGGTCTGCAGGATGGAAGCCGGGACTGCATCACACCTGCTGTGTGAGGACCACGCCCAGTGTGTGGACACAAGTGACCAGGTACTCAGCTGAGGGCACAGAAGGCACCAGCAAGGTGACTCTGGGGAGTCACACCATTCTTGTAGATTTTCTAGGGGCTTAAATTCTTTAATGAATGCTCAAGGAACAAGGAGCCCACCAAGCCAGTGAGAGACCACCTGCCTCCAGGCCCCCAGGGAACAGCCCAGGCAGCCATCAGCCCCAAAGGGCCCCACCTCCTCGGCCCTGGCTGGAAGCAGGAACTGCTCAGGGGGCGGAGCAGAGCACAACACTCCGTCTCACTGCAGAGGCTCTGAGATCTTTCTTTGTTCACAAAACCCAGCTGAGTGTGGTGATCCTRTAATTCCAGTTCGAGCCAGCCTCGGTGGCTTAGGGAGGCCCTCAGCAACTTAGACCCTGTCTCAAAATTTAAGAAAAAAATCTGTTATTGTTTTTTTTCTTCTAGTGTTTTCCAAGCGCCATTGCCAGTCATGTGACGGCGGAGTGTCCCAGCAAGTGCCTGGTGGGTGAAGATCTGCCCGTCCCTCCCCCGTGCCAGAGACAAGGCTCTGGCCCACACTGGCAGCTGCAGGGCTGGGGAGGGGCCAGGGAGGAGCAGCTCTTGAGGCAGTGGGAGGGCTGCAGCTGGACCCACCCCCAGCAGAGGGCTCAGGGATGCCCTGCCTGTGGATAGCAAGGAAGTGAGCACTTCGGATGTGGACAGAGATACTCCTGAGACTGAGCAAGGAGGGGAGGAACCAGTCCTTTCTCAGTAGGCAGTCCTCGACCCCGTGCTACCCATGCTTGAGGCTCTGTGCCGGGAGCATCTGCTCCTGGCTTCAAAGCCCCTCCCCAGTCTGACCTGCAGTACCCTAGGAGTTGGGAAGATGGGGAGGTCAGCGGAACAGATCTCAGAGGCAGGGACTGGTGAGTGGAGTGGTGTGTGGAAGGGCTGGGCAACCTGTGATGCCCACTGCTCCCGAGGCTGCCCTGCGCTGGGTGCCCGCTGCCTGAGGAGCCCAGGCGTTGCTGACTGCAGTGACACGGCCTGCCCCGTCTGCCCTTGCCTGCCTCCCCAGGTRGAGGTGCTGCTGGCCATCAGCAGCCTGACGTCCCCACTGCTGTTCACGGCGTCCGGGTACTTGTCCTTCAGCGTGGTGAGGCTCGTGGAGATCTTCAAAGATTACCCACCAGCCATCAAAGTACGTATCCCTTCATTTTCTTCTGAAACTTCCTAGAAACTGCCACTCATAGTCCGTGGGAATCCGAGGAGGACTCTGGGGCAGATGGATCTGTCCTGGCAGTGGCCAGCGCAGACAAGCACCTACCACGTGGCCACAGTGGCTCCTCAGTCGGCCGCAGGTGCAGCCAGTGTGCGTGTACTGTGAGGTGGATCTAACGTGCCTTTCCCGCTGGACAGTGGCATGGCTGCCCACCTGACTGCCCTGCTGCCGCCGCTCAGCGGGCAGCTCTGCCCTGGCCTCCACCTAGGCTGCCTCTGCTTCTCTAGCTGTGGGACGTTGCCCGCCCTAGCACAGTGGCAGTGGGTTTCTTGCTCTTGAGCATCGTGCCACGGTAGAACCAGCTGTCACTGGGTCTAGCTCGGAATTGCACTGAGGGGGCAGGTCAGTCAGAGAAAAGCTAGAGTCTGACTGTCTCCAGTGGAGCTCTGCGTGGCCTTCCAGCCGCCTCCTCACGGCTCTTAGATACTTTGTGTCTTTTGTGACCAGCATAAGTGGTGTCCCCCAAGTTCACTCCCAGAAACCTCAGCACAGGCTGAAAAGACCATGCAGTGGACACAGGTGCCATAGCAGCTTGCCTTCCGCGTGTGCTGCTCCTACTGATGGGAGGATCTGAAAGTGCAGTCTGGCGTGGACAACTGACCCTTCACGCTGGCTGGCCTTAGGTCAGCATTTCTAAAAGTGACAGCTGCCCCCACACATCAGTCTCATCATCACACCTGTGACCATCAAAATTCCGACACAGTGTTGTTTGGTGTCTGTCCTCATGTGATTTTTAGCCCCAGAGTGGATGCCTGGTCTCCAGCTCCTTAGCACAGGGGCCCTCTTCCTTTCCTCCCTGACTGGGAGGGCCCTCCGTGCACCTGGATGCATGGGGCGCATGGACACAATACCTTTATTTATTTATATGTGGTGCAGGGTGCTTGTGGAGCTGGGCTATGGCCAGGCTCTGGCCACACACAGGTCCCAGTCCCTGCTGTCTTCCCCTGGTCTAGTGAGGGCACTAGGGTGGCATTTTTACCTAAGGAAGTGAATAAAGGGTGAGCCTGGGGTCTCAGACCCCTCCTCTGCTCCTGTGCTGGCACTCTGTGTGGCGGGCTGCCACCCTCCTCTGTTGAGCAAAGGACCTGCCAAGGACCCACCAAGTTTTCCAGGCTTTAGAGGGTCACAGCTGTCCCTCTCTCAATACTCAAGTTGACCCACATGTGGCCAGCACTGTGCTTCTGGTAGACACCGGAAGGCCTGCCCTTTCTGTCTCTGTCCAGACATGCGCGAGGGCCGGGTGGGGACAGTGTGCACAGCTTAGATGGGGCTGCGAGCACTGACACCTTCCTGAGGACCACAGCTCCTGAACCTTCGGCGGACAGAGCTGGACAGACTTATTCAGCAGTGGGGTTCGCATGCTGTCTCCAGTCAGACTCGGCAAGTCCTGGGTCTGCTCCTCTTTGCTCCAGTTCCACGGCTCCATGCTGCCGTGCACTGGCTCCAGATTTTGTCTTCTCAGGCACACACAGCTGCTTGCCACCGCAGGGCCTGGCATCCCTACTGGCAGTCTTAAGGTCCATCCCACCAAGGAGGGCGGGCACCTGCTGTGTGGCTCTCCGAGGGTTGTGCCATGCACAATATATGGTTTCTGAATGTGTTCAGCTTTAGGGTTTGGTTCCTTTTTTTCCTTATTTTTTTAGCTGTAGATGGACACAATACCTTTATTTATTTATACGTGGTGCTGAGGATCAAACCCAGTGCCTCACACATGCAAGGCAAGTGCTCTACCACTGAGCTTTCAACACCAGCCCCTCCTTTTTCCTTTTTAATGATATTTTGTAAATGTTTAAAACATTTGTATGGTTCGAGAGTCAAAGCTGTGTAAAGACCTGCTGGGGGGCTGGTGCCAGCCCTGCTGACTTGCTGTCCAGGAGGTGGCCACATCACCACAGTCTTCCCTTCCATGCTGGACAGGTTGACTCGAAAACCATCACTCTGGACCTTGGCCCTTTTTTTGTTTGTTTCTGGGGATTGAACCCAGAGGTGCTCAACACCTGAGCTACATTCACAGGCCCTTTTGTTTTTATTTTTTATTTAGAGACAGGGCCTCACTAAGTTGCTGAGGCTGGCCTCAAACTTGCAATCTTCCTGCCTCAGTTGCTGGGATTACAGGTGTGGCCACCATACCCAACTTTTTTTCTTTTTAACTTAATTTATTCTGGTGGTTCCTGAACACCCAGGAGTCAGTGTTCTTCTGTCCTCCTTTACTACCCCGCGCAGCTGTAACCAGCCTTATCCCACCAGCCCTAGGGATGGGAGCCCGGCTGCTGCCAGCCATCTGCACAGCACTTTATCGGAGTGCTGGCTGGGAGAGGGCCTGCAGGGGAAGGTGCATCCATGCTGTGCGCTGGTCACCTCCTCCTCAGGCAGGGGGGCTGCTTTGGCCATGCAGGTGAAGCGTGTGTGGCCTCACTGAGCCCGGCAAGCTCTGCTCCCATCTCCAGCCCACTTTCTAGGGGGCTTTGGAGCGCTGCTGTTGGGGAGGCGCCCTCCAGGTGTGGAGCAGGTTCAGGGCCTGGCAGTGGTTTCCCCTCTGCTCCTGGCCCTGCATGGGGGAGTTTCTTCGACATGTCCTGAGTTGCATCTGGACATCTGAGTTGCGTCTTCAGCCAGGTTTCGTAAGAACACGCCGGGACCCAGCTAGACCTGTGTCATGAGACCCTTCATTTTTTAAAAAATTAAAAACCCATCTTTTCCTCAGCCCCTTCATCTGCAGTGCTCCTACCCAGGAGGTCTGTTTGTTCTCTTCCCATTCTCTGCCATGACCGTCTTCACCTGTGCCAGGACCCTGGGCCCATGGCAGAGTGGGCACCTGCCTCYTCCTCTGCCAGGCAGGGCTGGATGCCTTCTCTTGGGGTACACCTGTTTTTCTACATGCATTTCAGATCCAGGGCCTGGCTGCAGGAGGCCAGCACTTCGGTCCTCTGGGAACTGTGCCCTGTTTCCCTCCCACTTCCTCCCCTTCAGTGGCAGCTGTACTCCTTCCTGTGCTTTGTATTTCATGGGCCACCTGGAGGGACGTCCCTGTGTGGAGCAGAAGGTGCTGGGTGCTTTACGGAGGCTTTCCCTTGCTGCACCTAGGTGCTGTGTCTGGCCTGGGCTCTGGCCACCAGGAGGACTCTGGGCCTGTCCTCCTCCCCGGAGCCCTTCCCACTTCCTTCCCCTCCTCACGGCACCCAGTCCTGCGTCTCCAGCAGCTGGGCCACTCCGCTGGTGGGTCAGAGTCCCACTGCCCAGGACCCCCACCCTCTCTCTCCTTCCCTCATTGGAAGGTTGTGGTCCCTTCTGCCAGCTCCCCTCTGAGTGTGAAGCACAGTGGTCTTGTAGGCTCCTTATCTGTCCTTGGGGTCCTTGAGGTGGGGAGAGGAGCAGCAGCCATGCTGTCCACAGGGCCTGGCGGCCTCTGGGGCACTCTTAGGCCTGTTAACACCACCAGCAGAACGTGCAGGGGACGGTAGTGGCTGATGGAGCTGGCAGGTGCTGGGTGCTGGGGAAGCCCTTGGGCAGGTCTGCTGCTTGGTCGCTCACAGCTCGATCTGCCTCCCAGTCCTATGACCTGCTGTTGCTGCTGCTGCTGCTGGTGCTGCTGCTGCAGGGCGGCCTCAACACTGGCACCGCCATCCTGTGTGTGAGCTTCAAGGTCAGCGCGAAGCTGCAGTGCACATCCTGGGACACCCAGGCTGGCCACCAGGAGCGCCCAGAGGGGGAGGTGAGTGGCCTGTTCTCACAGACTCCCTGTCTTGGGGGCCTCTGAGAACCCAGGGGAGGTGACCATCCCCTGCACTAATGTCCTTCAAAACCTTTCATGCTTTTGTATTTTAAAATTAACCCAGAAAAAAATCTTGAAGAAGTGAATCTGACAGCAGGGCCTCAGCAGCTCTCTGTGGGCTGCCCCTCCAGGTAGTGTGTCCCTGGGCAGAGCTGCTCATGGCCCCTTGGGAGCAGCAGCCACAGGGCCCCTGTACCTGGTCCTTCCAGCCTGGAAGTAGGTGAATGTGGGCTGTTTTGTCCTGTGGGATCCGTCAGCTTAATGCTAGTTTGGTGGCCCAGCCACCCAGGTCCCTGTGAAGATGGCAGAGGGACAGCCTGGACAGAGGCCTCTCCACATTCGGCAAATACAAACGCACTTCTGATCCTGAAAAGTACCAGGGCCTCAGGCTTTTCTTTGCTCTCACAAACATAGAGCCTCCTTTCAGGGACYCCCATGCATCAGAGTTCCCTCCCTGGCTCCAGAGAGTGCCAGCTCTGCAGGAGAGGGGTGCCCACCCAGCCTGGAATATGCCCACCCCTCGGCCAGGCCACAGCCACCTGCACGGCCCTCTGCTCAGACCCTGCCTCTTGCCCACCTCCTGCTGCCAGCCTGAGTCCAGAGGCTGCCACAGCTGACAGCAGGGGCTCAGCAGCTCTCTGTGGGCTGCCCCTCCAGGCAGCGTGTCCCTGGGCAAAGCTGCTAATGACCCCTTGGGAGCAGCAGCCACAGGGCCCCTGTACCTGGTCCTCTCTGCTCCAGGGAGGTCTCCTGTCTGTCCCAGCATTGTTCCTGGCCTAGTGCAGACCCTCCTGGTTCTGGGTCAAGTCCAGAATGGGGCAGTGCTAGGTGGACACCTGGTGCTTCCAAAGTCCAGAACTGCCTGTGCTAGTGCTTGGGTGCACCACGAGGCTGGCTGCTGTCCTCCCTGCTGCCTGGCAGCATGCAGTCACCTCTGCCTCAGGTGACCTGTTCCTCAGTTGCCAGGAATGTGCCCAGCCACCCCTGGAGCCTGCCCCACCCCAGGCTCCATATGTGCAGAGACTCAGAGACCAACCCTGAGTGAGGGGCCTGTCATTTTGAGGACAGCAGGACAGTGGAGGCCTCTCTCAACCTCCTGTCCAGCTTGCTGGTGCATGGGGGCTGCTACTCTGCCTTCTGTAGCAGGCGTGGCTCTGGTGAGCTAACCCAGGTCCTGTCTCCCTCACAGGTGGCCAGAAGCCCCCTGAAGGAGTTTGACAAGGAGAAAGCCTGGAGAGCCGTTGTGGTGCAGATGGCCCAGTGACCAGAGTAGATGTCCAGCTGCACAGGCCCCACTGTCCTGTGGCCACAACTCTCTAACACACCCTTTCCCTTCCTGAGGGCAGCTTTTATTCTCATCAGACTTAACTTTGAAGTAGGTGAAGGTGGGCTGTTTTGTCCTGTGGGATCCGTCAGCTTAATGCTAGTTTGGTGGCCCAGCCACCCAGGCCCCTGTAAAGATGGCAGAGGGAGAGCCTGGGCAGAGGCCCCTCCGCATTCCAGGCCTCTCTGGTCCAGCTTCCTTGGTGTGCCCTTCCCTGTGGCCTGTGTGTGTGGGGCTCTTCCTCACTTTGCACTTTCCCCTTCTGAGATGACACCTCTCAAGGGCCCAGCCCACCAAGCATCCTTCCCCAGAGCAGGCCAGCGCTCTGTCCCACCCCTAGAACTGGCCACTTCACATAGTTGCCATGGCTTTTCCCACACTCCAAGTCTCCACCCGGTCTTCCATACACCCAGCATTCCAGAGGCTCCACCTCCTCCCCAGCCCTGGAGGGTGTCCCTGGGATCCTCAGGTCCAGTTGGAGCTTTGCATGACCACTGTTCTCAGGGAGGGAGCTGATTGTGGGGCTTTGGAAAAATGGATCTGACTGCGTAGCCACTCACCACCCTGCGGCAGGGACAGTTGAAGCTGGGTCTCTCCACATTTGCCTGGCTCCTGCAGGATAGACCCCATTTGAGCGTGGGAAGTCCCTGTGCCCCAGGCCTCTCACTGCTTGACTGATCCCTGCTCACCAAGCTCTGGCCAGGGTCAGCTGTTGGTGTCTCAGGCACTTGTGTACCTCTCCAGCATGTCTGTCACTGCCTRCTGCCAGGCTGCAGGGACAGTCTGGGTGAGAATAATATTGGTTTCTGATAAAACCATGGCCACAAGTTGGCTTGTGTGCCCTCTGCCTACCCTCTGAGGACACAGGATCCTCCCGCTGACATGGCACCTGTTAATCCCCGGTGAGTTGGGTACCAGCGTTTTTTGCAGTCAAAAGTGTTTTTTCTCTCTCTGCACAAGAGGAGAAGCCATGCTCAGGAAGGCACTGATGTTCGCTGTCCACTGAGCTGGGTGTTAACTGCTGCCCCCACCCCAGGGAGGCTGAGGAAAGGCCTGGAGGCCATTATCACCAATGGACCAGTAAACCAGGGACTTGGTGGGATGGGCAGCCTGGCCAGGGGGATGTGAGGACCTTCTCAGGCATCTTACTCTTGATCCCAGTGGCCCTGGTTGCCAGGAATCATGATTGGGAGATCATTATTTTCAGCTGGAGAAGAGGAATGCAGATAAGACTCAGGAAGCTGGAAGGTGCCAAGAGAGCAGCTATCTCCAGCCCTGGGTGACCTCTCTGCAGCCCTTGTCCTGGGCAGCTCCAAAGGACAAAGCCAGGGCCAGCTAGGCCATGCCCAGACGAGCACCACCATGGAGGTCATTCTCCTGCCTACGTGAGGCCCAGGTCCTCAGGCTAGGCCACTGCCCCCCTGCAGCTCTGCCGTGAGGAGGCCAGGTGGGATCTGCTCCCCTGTTCCTGAGAGTGGGTGGGAGTCACAGGGACTGCCCTGGGGCAGTGGTCATCAGGGGACAGATGTGGCTGGAGGATCACTACTGGCTTGCACTCCACAGAACTAAACAACCCAAGTGGAATTTCAAAATTGTCAGTTCTGATTTACACTTTTTTCTATATATCATTTAATATGCTAGAACAATAAACGCTAACATACAATGTGGCCAGCAGTTTGTTTATGTGGGGTGCCCGGGCATCTGCCTGCCCACATTCTTAACAAATGGAGATGTAAAACAGGAGGGTGAGCTGAGCTGAGGGCACCTTGGCATCGATTCCTTGATTTAGATGTAACCCTTGGAGGTGGGGCCTGGGGCAGAGCAGAGGTGTTGGTGGGTGAAGGCACTGGCCAGCCCAGGAGAAGCTGCCCACCTGTGCACAGAGGGGAGAACTTCCAAAATAAAGATGCATTTAAACCAAATGTAGATAACCTCCATGTTCTAAACCATCCCCAGCAGTGAATGCCCTGATGGAGTGGGAGGGTCTCTCCTAACCACCCCGCAAAAAGCTGGGCTGGCAGGGACAAAGAAGAAAGGAACTGCAGGGGTCCTGCATGGCAAGCAATACTGGCCAGGAAGCCGGGTCCAGCAAAACACCAGGAAGTGCCCATGTGAGAGTGGGTCTGCTCCCAAGAATGGCGTTAAGGGTGCCAAGGCTGCTGCAGGCTCCTTGTGGGACCTACTACCTGCTCCTGCCACCCCATCGCCACCACCCACTAGAGGACACCCTGTCCAGGGAGAGGGCCCTATGCAGTTTGTGGGGAAGGACCCCACCACAACACTGGCCCCTGCACCCCCTACTTCTGGCCCGGGTGGGGTGTCTTGTGGGCAGCAAGGGGGCGAGGGCCTGGACTGGTGCCCCGGGAGGGGCAGGGTGTGACCACCGTCTTTGTGACTTGGCAGGGGCCTAAGTGCCAGGGCGGGTCCGTGTGACCCCGACCTCCGCGCGGGGCCAAAGCGCGTGACCCGGGCGGGGGTCGCGGCCACTCGCGGGCCCTCCCCAGACGCATGGCCCGCGTGTTCCTGTGCCCCGGCCCCCGCCCCCGCGCTTGCTCGGACAGCAGCCGGGGACTAGAACCCCAGCCCGAGCCCAGCCTGAGCGCCACTGATTGCGACCCGGCTGAGCCCGCGCCACCCACGCCGCCCGCGCGCCGCCACCGCAGCGCCCGCCGCCCTCCGCCGCCCGCGCGCCCGCGCAGCCCCACGCCCCGGGCCGGCCGCCGCACCACTCGTCCCGGGCTCTACCGCCAGCGCCGGGGTCCTGCACAAAGCGCCGCGCAGCCCGGGCCCGTCGCCCTGGGCAACCGCAGGACTTGGGGACGCGCGGCAGGGGGCGGAGGCGCGACGCGCGCCTTGGGGCCGGTCCCGGGTGAGCAGCGGCCCCACAACGCCTGCCTGTCCCCACTTCTGACCCCACAGGCCCCCTGCTCCCCGCACTCGGAACCCGCCCTCCTCCCTCTGGAACCCCAGAACTCCCGGACCCTAACCCTCCACCTGCCCACCCCCCCTCCCGCCGGGAAGAGCTGCTCCCCTCCCCTTGGAACTCCTTAAATGTCTCCCTTCTCTGGTCCCAGGCGTGTCCCTCCAGCCTAGTTCTGTCTCCCCACCCCAGACCTGTCTCCCCCAACTCCAGACCCCCTCACACTCACACCTATCCCCCCACCCCTGACCTATCCTCCCACCCAGATCCTCGCCCCCAGACCTACCCTCTCCCAGACCTGTGCCCCCACCCGGGCCTCCTCATCCCCAGGCCTGTTCACTGAGGTCCACCTACCCTTAGACCTGTCCCTCACCTGGATCTTCCCACCCAGCCCTCCTGCTGACCTTGCTCCCTCGTGCCCCTCTCCCAGCAGGTGCCGACAGCCTGAAGGAGGAGCTGGAGGCCATCATGGAGCCAGGCCAGAAGCTGTCCTCTGCCTTGTCGGACGGAGACCGCCGAGAAGAAAATAGTCTGCACCCGCCTTTGCTTCCCAGAGTCGGGCAGCGCTCAGACGGGCTGTCCCCGCTGTCCTCAGCCTTAAGTGGGCGCGAGGCCAAGGTCACAGGTGCTCAGAGGGAGGTGTCTCGCCCAGGCCCACCAGGGGAGGCGCTGGGCAGGGTGGGGTGGGGACTCCCACTGGGCTTCCCCTGAGGTTTCCTCGCTGCCTTCCTGCGCTTCCCTTCCGTCGGACAGGGTCGTGGTTGGTAAATACCTAAAGTCCTAGGAGTAAGATCCGCACCACAGGTGGGCACCCCCTCTGCTTTGTAGGGTGCTGACAGTTCTGCAGCCTGGGTAGGAGCTGGCCACCCCACAGCCCCTCTCTGCATTTCCCGCAGCCCTGTTGGAGAGTTCCTTCCAGATCTTGGCTGGGGTCAAGTTGGGTTGTTTGTTGCTGACGTGGGAAATCCGTGTGTGTTCTGGATACCAGTTCTTTGACAGAGCTGTATCATAAATATCTGTGGGGTCACTTAAGTCACTCAGCCATTCCTTCAGTACCCAGGGCTTCTGGCTTCAGTGTGTTTACTTATCAATCTCCTATCCTTAGTGCTTTGGTGTCTTGTTTAACTGTGCCTACTCCCTTGTCCAGAGGGTACTACCCTAAGGTGTTTTTTTGTTTGTTTGTTTGTTTGTTTTTGTTTGTTTGTTTTTAAGAGAGAGAGAGAGAGAGAGAGAGAGAGAGAATTTTAATATTTATTTTTTAGTTTTCAGCGGACACATCTTTCCTTCTATGTGGTGCTGAGGATCAAACCCGGGCCGCACGCATGCCAGGCGAGCGCGCTACCGCTTGAGCCACATCCCCAGCCCTTGGTTTGTTTTTTTAAGAAGCTTTATAATTCCACTTTTCACATTTGGGTATACAACCCTTTGGGACTGAGTGGTGCACATGAAGTGAAGCAGGGGTCATCCCCCCATTTGTATATCCAAGGACTCGGCTTCCTGGGGTCAACCAGGTTGCACATTCCCCATTCTGTACAGGGATTCAGCCTCTGCCTGGCAGGTCCCCTGGGGTCATCCAGTCATGGATCCCCATCTGTTCTTTGGTCTTTCTGGCTATCCTTATTCTCAGGTGTGGGTTCCCCATTTTATCCTATTGATTTTGCTGGCCGTCCTGGCCCTGTACCACCATTCTGATTCCAGGAGATTTCTTCTTTTCTTTTTCTTTTTAAAGTTTTGAGACAGGGTCTTGCTAAGTTGTCCAGGCTGTACTCAAACTTGGATTYTCTTGCCTCATCCTCAAGAGCAGCTGGGATTATAAGCATGCACCACCACGCCTGGCTCCAGTTGCTCTATAATAAGTCTTACTATCTGGYGGTTTAAGTCCCCTGACCTTATTCTTCAAGATTGCTTAGGTTTTCTTGGACTTCTGCACTGCCATGTAAATTCTGAATCAAATTGTTAATTTACATACATACAAACTGTGCTGGGATTTTAATTATTATTACATTGAGCCTATGGATCA